TGATTTGGACCACAAAAGTACAAAAACCAATGTTTTCACTGAAGATCTCCTAATATGAATGGCTAGGTCAAAGTTAAAGGGGTACTTTAAAGTACACTACCTTACTTGTCAAAGACTAATTAGAATAGAAAAAATGGTCCACTTTTCATTTTCAAGCAGACAAGCTGTAACTTTAAAACATATTGAGAATGCAGATAAGCTAATGAACTGATAAGTTTCTCAAATTTCAGGTCTTTGGAGAGGCATGAAGTCATAGTGATGGAAGACTTTAATGGCCCTGCAGTCTCTTGGGAGACAAGCTCCACCAGGCATGAGCCTTCCAGGAAATTCCTAACTTGTCTTCATGAACAGAGACATCTGCAGGGGAAACGGAAAGGCTGAAAAACAAAGGAGGTCAAGATGGCAGCTATAATAATACACATAATTAAAGCCCCCATCTCAGTCCACCATCTTCACTCCCTTCTACACCCCTATAGCAGGGGTCTCCAAACTTGGCAACTTGTGGATTTCAACTTTTTACTCATCTTGGGGTTCTTTGTAATTAATTTCTTTTTCAGAGGTGCCTACAGGGCAATGGTCTTCAAACTTGGCAACTTGTGGATTTCAACTCCCAGAAGTTGGCTGGCTGAGGAATTCTGGGAATTGAAGTCCACAAGTTTTAAAGTTGCCAAAGTTGGAGAACTCTGCCCTAGAGGCACCTTTGAAAAAGAAATTAATGAGAAAAGGAACCCTAAGATGAATAAAAAGCAATATGGCAATTTCCAGACATCAGTATGTCTTGACAAACTAATTTGATCTCATTTTTGAGAGCAAGGTCCCCCCCTAATGGTTGTTAAGAATGCTGTAATACACCTTGATTTCAGCAAAGCATTTAATGAAACACTCCATGACATGCTGATTAGGAAGCCAGTTGACTGAATAGTGTGCCAATTAAGCGGATACATAATAGGTTCAGACACTGCATTCAATTAGTGTTTTTGAATTGTTGCTCCTGAAATTGGGAGCATATTAAGTGGAGGATCATAAGGTTCGGTCCTGAGCCTCCAACTCTTCATTATTTTCATTGATGTTTTTGCAGAAAAGATGGTGAGAAAGAGTATTATATTGTAAGTTGATACAAAAATTGAGAAGATTAGCTAATACTCCAGAAAGCAGGGGGGGAGGGGGGTGAAATCAAAATGATATTGATAGATTGGTTAAATTGCTTTAAGTAACTGTGTGAAATTTAACAAAGACAAGGACAATCTTCTTAACTTAAGAAACAGAAATCAAATACACAAACACAGTGTGGATGAGTCAACTGAATTTTATAACTTTTTTTAAGCCAACTATCATTTCCTGGAATTAATGCATGATTGTGCTATATATGCATATAATCTGTGGAGCAAATACTGATTTCAAAAGTTTTGACAGTATAGGACAGCCCTAAACCAAATATTATCAGTGATAACAATACCAAGGAAGTATAAATAGCTGAAATATCAGCTCAACAGTTAAATATCAAATTACGTGAAAGAATTCAAACATCTGTTCATTTAATGTTTCTTTTTGGAGTAAGCTTCTTTAGAGTAAGCCATACTGTAGTAACCAGTATTCCAGATAATGAGACATGGCTCTACCACCCCTTTACTTCAAATAAGCTGTAATCCTACTAATACAGATACCGAGGGGAAAAATAAATATAACTTCCTGATTAGAAACTGAAATTCAATAAATGATTTTCTAAATACACATTTAGACCATTTTAAATAATGAATACATTGCATCACATAATTCATCAGAGGGCACCCCAATAAAAATGAGCCAATTCTGTATAATAGAACATGGAAACTTCCTTTCATAGAAGTTGACATTTGAAAAGCAGTACAGCGTTCATAAAAACTCTGTTTTCCTGTGCTGCAGAAGGATGCATCATTTTTGCAAGATAGATTTTAATGAAAAGAAGTAAATCCAGAATGAATTAGTTATTCTTAAATGCCTTGAAATTCATTAGATAATGAATTTCAACACTACCCATCTCACTATCTCAGTGACTTTGGGAAATTTACAGATAAAAGCTATAAAAACATATAAAAAGACACCGATTAAAAACAGAGTTAAAAGAAGAGTTGAAAAGGTGAAGGTAATGCCCTCAAGCTACCAACCACCCCCAAGATTGCATATCACTCATGCCATTCATCCTAACTCAATGGAATATCAAGGAGGCTTATCCATTTGGATAATTCAATCCATTTAAAAAGAATTGAATTGAATTCATACTCTAACACAATGTTACAGTATCTCTCTCTCTGTCTCTCTCTCTCTCTTTCTCTCTTTCTCTCCATTTATATATAAATGGCAATTTGATGGCACACACACCACAGCAGTGCTAACAAAAATAACAGTTTAAAAGTATGTAGCATGAAAGCCAGTGGTGGGTTTCAAATTTTTTTACTATCGGTTCTGTGGGTGTGGCTTGGTGGGCGTGGCATGGCATGGCTTGGTGAGTGTGGGTTGGTGGCATGGCAGGGGAAGGATACTGTAAAATCTCCATTCCCTCCCCAATCCAGGGGAAGGTTACTGCAAAATCCTCATTTCCTCCTGATCGGCTGGGACTTGGGAGGCAGAGAATAGATGGGGGCGGGGCCAGTCAGAATTTTTACTACTGGTTCTCCGAACTACTCAACATTTCTGCTACCGGTTCTCCAGAACCGGTCAGAACCTGCTGATGCAATCAATAACATAAGTAAAATAAATTCATCTGTAACTTGTTTTCATGTTTACACTCTTAGAAAATGGAACTACTCAAAATAAAATTGACTCAGTAAACAGAAGTATAATGATAAACACAGCATCCTTCTGTTGTCTAAGAAGTTTTCTTCTGGGATTTTTTAGAAATTTGCCATCCTAGCCAAGTAATTAAGGAACCTTTTGAGTCAAGCTTGATTCCTAGAGATGCAGTGTTCTTGGCAATAATGTTGAGGGGTTTCTTTTTAGTTAATCTTCTTCTCAGATATTAGGCCAGCTTCCCAGTCTAGCTTATGACCCTGGTATTTCTGCCATTCAAGTACCAAACAAGTCTTACTATACAGTATGTACATACATACATACATACATACATACATACATACATACATACGAATGGCAAAAATATTTAGCAATTTGAACACAGAAGTGTAGAATAATAATGTAATTGGATATCTGTAATCACAGGTTAAAATGAGCAATACTTGGAATTCAAGCTAGTAGTTTAGAATGAACAGCTGCCTAGCTGATATGATTTTCAACAGCAAAATCTGCATCAGTTATGGGTTCTTGCTAAGCACAAGGACTATTATCTCTGGAGTGTCAGTGCCCATCTGTGATCTGTGTCCTTTTCATGGAAGGAAATTTTGCTAAAATTTCTCTTTCATATAAGGGAAAGCAAACTGGGGGCATTGAATTCCATGTGAATCCTGAATACCATTTTTATGCATGGATTGGCCTGGGTTCTTACAATTTTGAGTTGGAAAGACGGTCTCTAAACATCTCAGAATAGCTTAAACAGTACTCCTCCCCCAACAAAAAACACCACTAATATATTAGCTCTGGCCAATATTGTACTATGAACTCATTAGTACTGGTTCATGATTCTGCTCCCAGAGATTTTTGTTCTCCCCAAAGAAATGTCCACCTCAACATCTACTAGTTTTCTTTGTGGGTTATTCCTCTGCTTCAATATTTTGCTTAAGCAAATTTTTGCTGCCTTTATGGTGAAAGAAAAGAGGATTTCCTTTTAAAATCAGATTGCTTTTTGCTTCTCTATAATAACTACATGTGCTAGAGTATCTCTGAATATAAATACTTTGGAGTCATGGTTAACAGAAAAGATCAGCTAATTAACTTCTTTACGAAGTCTATATCTTATAGGACACCTTTGCTGATTACCAACGTTCTAAATATAGTTTCTTTAGTGAAAATGTCTTCATGCTTAAAATCAATGGTATCTTCATTACCAACTTGATTCCAGATTGATGTTAATGTGCTTATATTTCTCCGAGTTACAAGACATTGGAAAAAACTGTCTTAGGTAACAGCTTGGGAAATTCAAGGTACTGCATCTTCAGTTTCAGATAATTTGGGCTAGCAATTCACCCATTTTTTAAATTAGCCCTATTCATATCATGCCATTCTCACTAGACTTGAATACATGTGTGTATGGCATACATAGATGGAAATGAATGAAACTATGTCATCAAATTCAGTATCTCAGCTCTATCATGTTGAACTTGAAGCAATTGTGGATAATGTTGTTTACATACAACGCATAACAGAATAACAGCGTTAGAAGGCACCTTCTACTCCAACCTCATGCTCAAGCAGAGATCCTATACCATTTCAGACAAATGGTTGTCCAATGTCTTCTTAAAACTACCTGTGATTAAAACTCACAACATCTTATACCTTAAAACTCACAACATCTGAAGGCAAATCATTCCTCTGATTAATTGTCAGGAAATTTCTCCTTCTTTCTAAGTTGATTCTCTTCTTGATTAGTTTCCATCCATTGCTTCTTGTCCTGCCTTCAGGTACTTTGGAGAATAGCTTGACCCCCTCTTCTTTGGGGCAGCCCCTTAGATATCTATGGCATGACTCTGCTATCATGTCATTCCCTAGTCCTTGTGTATAAAATATGTATATTAATTGGAATTGCAGTTCAGGGCAGTGGTGAAATCCAAATTTTTTTACTACCAGTTCTGTGGGCGTGGCTTGCTGGGCGGGGAAGGATACTGCAAAATCCCCATTCCCTCCCCACTCCTGGGGGAAGGATATTGCAAAATCTCCATTCCCACCCCACTCTGAGGCCAACCAGAGGTGGTATTTGCCAGTTCTTTGAACTACTCAAAATTTCCGCTTCCGGTTCTCCAGAACCTGTCAGAGCCTGCTGGATTTCACCCCTGGTTCAGGGGGTTTTAGCCAAAGTAGACAGACATGCATACATAGTATAGCTGAGTACAGTTTAAAAGAAAAATGAAGCTGTGTCACAAGCAATACTTTATTTCAGATTTTTCTCCCATCCCTTTAATTTATTCATATAGGCAGCACGCATCAATATTCAGATTCCTCTGTGCTCTGGAGGACTGGGAAAGAGATGGTCCAGTTGTCCACTTTCACCATTTCAGCCTATTAAGCCATTTCACTGCTAAAAAAAAAGAAAATATGTCAAGTTCTGGCAACTTTTTTTTTAATGTTCCACATTGCTGGCCAATGTTCAGCTTTGCGGTAGAATGACAGCAGATTTTGTATATATTGGATGCTGTTGGCCTACGGGGCAAAATGTTACTTTCTCAATTGTCCAGTTAAGGGCAACTAAAGCTTTCTTTTACTTATGAGCTAGACATGAGGCATATTTTTGAAGACCCAGAAGAGACATACTTACTGCCAGGGCATTTTTGTACCATGGTTAGATAAGGGAAGTCTCATTAACTCACATTCCCAGCTACAGACTGCTGTTTTGCACACACTAATCTCTAGGTCTAATCTCACCCCTGCAAGTGGACCATCTGCTATAATTAAGAAACACTAGCATTCTTTTGCCAAAGGCCAGAAGCCATTTCTCCCTTAGACAAAAGAAAGGGAGAAAGCACCCCTCCCCTCCTCCCCCCAAAACACACATAATGGTAACAGCATACTCTAAACATCCATCTCAACATTTTTTGTCTCCTATAAAGTATGAGGTGAGAAGTCCATTGGTTGTGTTCTTTTTGTTTTAACTGGAAATAAAGCAAGTAGTTCAGGGGGGAACTTGAATATGCATAATTCAAAAATGTAAAACATCCTAACAACCACTATAACAAACTTGCATTCCCCTATTGAAGTCAGTATAAATGGCGTTGCTGAATATTCCAGAAGAGCATCTGAAACTGGACAAAGCCGAAATAGAGAGAGTATTCACTGCTTAATTCACACTTTCCCCCCTGCTCAAATAGCCATTAAACTATAGAGCGGCGTTGTTGAAAAAATGAGAAACCTTCACATTTTATGGCATTATGATTTTCTGATATTTGCCAGTTGGTCGTTGTTATTGTAAAGTGCAAGGTAAGTGTTAAATTTTTAATAAAATCTATTAGTAAGCACGAGCATGTAAAGCAATAAATGTTTAGTCTTAATGCTATCCTTTCTTCTCAAGATGCTTTAGGAGAGGGTTACAAATACAGTATTGTTCCAATATCTACTCAATTGTGCAGGTCTCCTGCTGTAGTTTCTCTTCAATGGGACATTATTTGTTCAGAAAGATTTTTATGGCGCCCTTAAAAATCTCAATTACAGTTTTAAATAACTTGCAGGGGGTTTTGCAACGTGACACTGCTATCTCGGTTCCCAGAGGATATATTAAATTCAAGTGGCAATAACAAATCATTTAAGCCATAAATAAATAACCTGAGACCCAGCGCTGTGAAGAGTTAATAGTCTCCTATATACTCAATAGAGTCTGAAACACCACTCTATTAAAGTGACCCCTGGGAGCATGGGCCAAATTGCACCCAGTGGCTTTGTGGAAGGTATTCATCCCTCACACATTCATTTCCTTCTTTATGTTGTCTCTTTTCATCAGGGAAGGACCTCTGCAAACCCTGAGCCCACCGAACAATTGCGGTACAGTCTCAGAGAAAAGAAAGAAAACTGGGGTCGTAAATATGTTAAATGGGTGCGTGGGTTTAAGTGGCTTTGTAAAATAAACACGAAGGGACCGTCAGACTAATTAATGAATATGAAGCAGCACGATAGAAATGTTTTCAGAGAAAATTCACATATTCCGACCCCCCTCCCATGTCTTTTCTTACCAACGTTCATTCTTTCCTCCCCCAGCTCTTTCTTCTCAAAACAGTTTTCCTAGTTTCCTTCCGAGGGTACTGTATGTTTCAAGAGGGTTGTAAAAATATATTGCCACCTATTCTCAACAAAGATGAAAGAGGGTGTCACAGAGAATTCTTCTGAAACTTGCCATCTTTACAAACAAACAGGTGTATATCGGTTCTCTTAGTCAAGGAGAGAAAGGGAGATAAGGCTCTGTGAGCATTGTTTGGAGAAGCACACTGACAGGCTGCAATGTAATTATATATTGAAAGTCTCATGCCACCAGAAAAAAATAATTATGCAAATTACAGCATTCAAGTTCAGGGACCGTATTTGCTCCCAAGGGGAAAATAACTCTACAGATCTTCAGCACAAGTAATGATCCTTAACATACCTAAAGAATAAATCCGTTGTGCACATCATAGTATTTGCTTCAGAGTAGTCAGTTGCATTTTTGGAGTTCCCTGAAGTTGGGGAATGCTACATGCCAAACTCTAAATGACACTTGTTTGCCCTCATCTTCATAAACTTTCTTACTTACTTACTTACTTTATTCAAATTTCTATACCGCCCTTCTCCTTTCGGACTCAGGGCGGTGAACAGCCAAGATAAAAACATCTATACAAAACATCACAGTTAAAAAATAAAGTTAAAATAATTTATAAATTTGGCCTATAATTTAAAACTTGTCAATTTAAAATCAATATTAAAATTTTAAAACTAACCCTAAAATCAAGACAGACCGGCTAACTGGAAAAAATAAGTTTTTAGGGCCCGACGAAAAATCCGAAGGTCAGAGATCACTCGTATCTCTGGGGGTAGATTGTTCCATAGGGTAGGTGCCACCACAGAGAAGGCTCTCCTCCTGGGGGTCGTCAGCCGGCATTGTCTGGCCGACGGCACCCTGAGGAGGCCCTCTCTGTGGGAGCGAACCGGCCGGTGGGAGGCTATTGGTGGCAGAAGGCGGTCCCGTAAGTACCCTGGCCCTAAGCCATGGAGCGCTTTAAAGGTGATCACCAACACCTTGAAGCGCACCCGGAAGTCCACCGGAAGCCAATGCAGCTCGCGCAGGAGAGGAGTCACATGGGAGCACCCCGTCGCTCCCATAATCCCCCGCGCAGCCGCATTCTGCACCAGTTGGAGCCTCCGGGTGTACCCCAAGGGGAGCCCCATGTAGAGAGCGTTACAATAGTCCAGACAAGAAGTGACGAGTGCTTGAGTGACCGTGCATAGGGAGTCCCGGTCCAGAAAGGGGCGCAACTGGCGTATCAGGCGAACCTGACAAAAAGCCCCCCTGGCCACGGCTGTCATATGCCCTTCTAAAGACAGCCGCGCATCCAGGAGGACACCCAAGTTGCGGGCCCTCTCCGTGGGGGCCAATGATTCGCCCCCAATAACCAGCGATGGCGTCAGCTGGCTATACCGGGACGCCGGCAGCCACAGCCACTCGGTCTTGGAAGGGTTGAGTCGAAGCCTGTTTCTCCCCATCCAGAACTGCACGGCCTCCAGGCACTGGGACATCACTTCCAAGGCATCATTGGGATGGTCTGGGGTGGAAATGTACAGCTGAGTATCATCAGCGTACTGATGGAACTCCACCCCAAAACCACGGATGATCTCACCCAGCGGCTTCACATAAATGTTGAACAGGAGGGGCGAGAGGACCGACCCTTGCGGCACCCCACAAACAAGGCACCTTGGGGTCGACCGCTGCCCCCCTGTCAACACGGATTGCGATCGGTCGGAGAGATAGGAGGAGAACCACCGCAAAACAGTGCCCCCCACTCCCAGTCCCTCCAGCCGGCGCAACATGATACCATGGTCGATGGTATCAAAAGCCGCTGAGAGGTCTAATAGGACCAGGATAGAGGAAGAACCCCTATCCCGGGCTCTCCAGAGATCATCCACCAACGCGACCAATGCCGTTTCCGTGCTGTACCCAGGTCTGAAGCCGGACTGGAGCGGATCCAGATAGACAGCTTCATCCAGGTACTGGGGAAGCTGTCGTGCCACCACACTCTCAACAACCTTCGCAATAAAGCGAAGGTTGGAGACTGGACGATAGTTAGCCAAAACAGCCGGGTCCAGGGATGGCTTCTTGAGGAGAGGCCTCACCACCGCCTCTTTCAAGGCGGCCGGCAGGACACCCTCGCTCAAAGAAGCGTTAATAATCCCCTGGAGCCAGCCTCGTGTAACCTCCCGGGAAGCCAGCACCAACCAGGAGGGACACGGGTCCAATAAACATGTGGTTGCGTTCAGCCGCCCCAAGATCCTGTCCACGTCCTCGGGAGCCACGCGTGTAGGAGTGCATTGCACAAACACCAAACCTGTTTTTGTTTCAGTCTCAATTCTTTACTTACTCAAGAGCCCCAAGACTATAAAAACTTAACAGTTGAAAACACGTCTCTTTCAAAATCCTTGTACATCGTATTAATCTATTTTGTATTTTTATTTATTTGTCAAGCATGTATGAAAAAATAAGTATAAGTATAAACATAACATATAAACATATAAGTATAAACAGGTATAAGTATAAATATATGAAATGAATACAAATAAATGGAAACAGTAGGACAGGGACAGTAGGCACGCTGGTGCACTTATGCACGCCCCCTTACAGACCTCTTAGGAATGGGGTGAGGTCCATGGTAGACAGATTAAGGTTAAAGTTTTGGGGGTTTGAGGATGTAACAACAGAGTCAGGTAGTGCATTCCAGGCATTGACCACTCAGTTTCTGAAGTCGTATTTTCTGCATATCTAGTTCTACATAATCATATCTAGTTATGCAGCACATGATTAAACCATGGAGCTCACTATCCCAAGATGAGAATGACTACTAACATGATGAGAAATTGCAATCTGATCATTGTCAGAGGAGGCAGATTGTTGCCCTCAATTCCTTTCAGGGATCCATATAATGAACAAATTAGGGCTCTTGAGTAGGTAAAGTAATCCAGACTGAAAATCAAGGTGACTGTGGTCTCTCCAACTTAAAGCTTCTGCTGGTAAAACATTTATTATCCAGGATTTTATCCTGAAATAAATGCTATCCTGGCATATTTTATGGAGACCTGTCTGAGAGAAAAGGAGAAGGGTTGGTTTACTCTGTGATGTGATAGGATATGACTGGAAGGTGGGAGATGATATGGCTGTAGACTACAGGAATTCCATCTCATTGACTAGAATCACACTCAATTTCTTTCCCATGCTGAGGGTCCCCATCAAAAGTGACTCAGGATTTTGTTTGTGATGGCAATCATGGATAATTTCCTGAATATACTTGAACAATTCCCCATCTTTAAAGTCCTGGCTAATTCATCTGTAGATCATGGAGATTTCACTAAGTGTCCTCTTCCCTCCAGCAGAGCAAAAGGGGTGAAAGATCTCTTTGAACAAGTTGTTAGGGACGAGAGTTGGAAAAGAGTCACCCTGGACAATAGTTCATTATTCTTTGCAGACAAACTTGAATTGGATTTGCTTTGACAGGTTCCAGTTGGGGAAAGTGATGGGAAGATAACTATTTGTGTGGATTCTTCTTGGTTTATATATCTTAAGAGGGGATATGATGTATATGTGAATATGAGGACCATTACCTGCTTAATTGACTTTGTCTTTGCCAGCCAAGTTGGGACTGATCCTCCACTTAAGGTTTTAAATGATCTTAGCAATAGCAATAGCTCTTAGACTTAAATACCGCTTCTCAGTGCTTTATAGCTCTCTCTAAGCGGTTTACAGAGTCAGCATATTGCCCCCAACAATCTGGCTCTTCATTTTACCCACCTTGGAAAGATGGAAGGCTGAGTCAATCCTGCCAGCCGGAACTGCTGGCAGCTGGTATCAAGTAGAATTAGCCTGCGATACGGCATTCTGACCACTGCCCTACCACGGCTCCTTAGAAATTTTGTTTCTTTTCGCCCGAACATAAACATTAATATATAATGTCTCTTTTGCTTAGAGTGCATGCCCAACAATGTTTATCCTTTTTTGGGGGGGGGAGGTGCCTACCTAGGTGCCTAGGTATTGTGCAGATAGTCCTTGCTTATCCTCATTTAACAACCATTTGCAGTTACAATGGTGATAAAAAAAGTAACTTTGCAACAAGTCCTCACTTTTACAATCTTTACAGATGTGTAAAGCAAAGGAGAGATGATGTAAATTCCTAAGCACAGTCACGGTTTCACTTAGCAACCATTTCATTGAATGACCAAGTTGTTGTTTCCAATTATAGTAGCTAAACAGGTACTACCATATCTGTTTTTAAACTGTGTATTAGCAAGAATTTTGAATGAGAGATGGTCTTATAAATTTAAATTATAAATCATTTAATATATTCATAAATATCTGGGTATTAAGTGATTGAGAAAGCGGTGCTTTGCAAATCCAAATGCATTTATTTATCAAATTTATATAGTTGCTCATCCCCACCCCAAGAGGACTTATTTGAATGAAACTAATTATCTTGAATAATTATAACTGTGGCTTCATCTGGATATAATAATCAAAATATTCTGGTCACGTTAGTGAATAAACGATACTAGAAGATAGAGAGAGAGTGTGTTACCTTGCATGTTTTTCTAACTTCCTTCGCAGCTTTCAATATCTTATGTTTACAGTGTTAAACTCTGGATCAGTGTCTTTCCTCTTAGAGCAGGGGTCTTCAACTTTGGTTACTTTAAGATTTGTGGACTTCAACTCCCAGAATTCCTCAGCCAGCTTTGGCTGGCTGGTACTAGATGCATGTAGCAAACTGACACTGAGTATAAGTAAGACAGAGGTGCTGTTAATAAAGAGAAATGTGGACTTAGTAATGGAGATAAACTCTATTTGGATGAGATATCATTCCTTATGGATGAGAAAGTTCACAGTTAAGAGTGTTCTTTGATTTCCAGCTGTAATCAGTTTTGCTATAGTTTCCTATTAACTATAGCTAATATGCCACTTGCAATACTTCCCAAGCCAGATAGCAGTGAAAACGGTTAAATAGTTTAGTTAAAAAGCTGGATTTTCTAATATACTACATTAGCCTATCCTTTTAAAAAATTGTTATTGGAATTGTACAAACATACAGATGCCA